GGGACGATTAGAGCCTATCTTGTAGGGTGCTATCTTTTTCTTTCAGGATTTTAAATAAAATCCTTAAGTAAGAAATGCCCTGGTGAGAGAGAGGGAGAAAGAGTCAGAAATGTTGACTTATTGTTCCAGTTACTTATACATTCATTGGTTGATTCCTGTATGTGCCCTGACAGGGGATCAATCCTTGGCATATTGGAACGATGCTCGAACTAACTGAGCTACCCGGCCAGTGCTATTGTGATTTTTTTTAAACATACAGAAAAAGAGAAATATAACCAATATACCTAGATTCATCATATGTTAACACTTTGCCACATTTGTTAGTAGAAAAAGATTTTTTCTGAACCATTTCCAAGTGTATTAAAGGCAGTCTGATACTTCTCACCTGAACACTTAGCAAACTTCTCCAAATCGTCAGGATAGTCTCCTACAAAGCCACGATACCACTCGGTAAATAATCCTCTAATATCTAATGCCCTTCCATATTCAAATTTTCCCAAAATGTCTTTGGTAGATGGTTCTTCTCCTGAACTATATGCTAATCAGTTCATATGACACTGGTCCTTGTATCTCTTCAGTATCTTATGTTCCCACCTCATGTTTTCCATGACTTTTTTTTTTATCTTTAAGAAAACCAGACTGAAATGCTTCCCTTGAGCTATACTCATAAATTCTGGTGCTATGCTGTGAATAACTATATAATGGCTTTTTATTTCACTCAGTATGATATATATTAATATTACTAGAGGCCCAGTGCACAAAATTTGTGCACAGAGGGGTGTAAGAAGAACCAGTTGAGAGAGAGTACCTGGAGGGTCATCAGAGAGGGTCCTCAGACCTGAAGTCTTTGATTGGGGTGGGCGTGGTGATGAGAAATCCCAGGAAATCTATGGAAGAGATCCCCCGGGGGTTTCCAGAGGAGTTGGTGACAAGACCCAACTAAAGAGATTACTACCTGAAGCCTGACTGTCAACAGAAGCCCCGCCCCGGCCCCACCACAGAAGAACATCCTGGGCCCTTGCCTGGAAAGTCAGTTGATGTGTCTAGAGTTGAAAATACGCCCCTCCCGGGGAGATTGCGGAGGCCTTAAATGATAGGGCATCTCTAAAACCAAAACTGGAAACACAGGGGCTCTTTCGCCCTCCCCACATGGGAGACTGTGCTGTGAAGTTCTTTCCTCTTCCCCACGTGGGAGTCTGTACTTGTTCTTCAATAAATCTCTACCTTTGGAAAAAAGAAAAAGAAAAGAAATGACCTGGCGTCCCAGCTGGTTTGGCTCAGTGGATAGAGCGTCGGCCTGCGGACTGAGGGGTCCCGGGTTCGATTCCGTCAAAGGGCACATGCCTGGGTTGCGGGCTCCATCCCCAGTGGGGGGCGTGCAGGAGGCAGCCCGTCAGTGATTCTCATCATTGACGATTCTCTCTCTTTCTCCCTCTCCCTTCCTCTCTGAAATCAGTAAAAATATATTTAAAAAGAAAAAAAAAGAAAGAAATGAAATGACCTGGCATCTCCTAAGTGCTGTGTTTGTAGTTTGTATAGATGTGAGCTTTTTTCGAAAGATTTTGCTGTGACTGCATGCTTAGGGAAAAACCCTGAAACGTGGAATGAGGGGTGTGTCCCGGTGTGGCTGCAGCTGAAGGGATTCCCGCCAGGGAGCTCCAAGGCCACTCGAGTGGTCAGTCCTGGGGCGCTGACCATATTCGGTCTCTGGGACACGTCCGAGCTTGCAGGGCAGCGCAACCTGGGTGGCACCTCACAAGACTCCGACTTCAACACCCTCACCCCTCCCGATCACTGACAAAATCAAATCCACGCTGTTTCCAGGCCCAACTCCATTTAGCCTCCGCCGTCACCCCAGCCCTGGGCAGCGCCCTGCAGACACGCCCGCATTCAGACGCCCTGGGCTGCTTCACCTCCCGAATTTCACACCCATTTCCCCCGCTGGAGCACGGTGCCCTCCCCTTGACGGGACTATCCTTCGGACACCTCGGATGCCGCCTCCTTCGGGGGTGCTGGCGCTGCGCCTCTCCCGTGGCCCCACTGCCCCTAATGTCTGTGCGGGACGGTCTCCGCTTCTGTCCCTACAACTGTGGGATCCCTGCGGGTATGGAAGGCTCGGACTGAACCTCAACGATGGGGACTTACTTAATCCCAGCCCCACAAGGAACTAGGCACCCGGCCCCGGAGGGAAACGCCCTTTCTTCCCCGGCAAACCGGGCGCGCTTCCGGGCGGACCCGCAAAGAGGGGAAGAGCTGCCGCCCCGGGTCC